AAAAAAAAAAAAAAAAAAAAAAAAAAAAAACACACATCATAGTAAAATTAATACCTTCTCCGCTTCGCATCGAAGCTAAAAAACTATTAAACATTTATTTAACAATATAAAAATTAAAAGATTCAATTAAATAGTTTGCTAAAAAAATCATTTTAATCATAAAAGTACTTAATTATTTATAATAATTTGCAATAATTATTTTTGTTGACTACTTAACATTATTATCGTAAAATCATACGTGGTTAAGTAGTTATTTTCCGGAGAACTATTAAAAAACAAATAAAATTCATATACTTAAATATTTTATTTTCTTTAATTATTATATACAAAATTTTTTTTATTTTTCAGCTTAGTCTTTTTTTAAAAATAATTTTACAATTATTTAAGAATTTTCGGTCAAACCTTCATAATTACATAATAGGATGATTACTATCATACATAGATGTTGATGAACATCATTGTTTATCAAAATTAAATTTAATGTTAAAGTACATTTAATTAATAAAATATTTCCTATGATTTTTTTAAATTATCTAGAACAATGTATATTGTAAAAATAACTGACACCAATTTTACTTAAGAAACTTAAAACGCATATAATTTGATATATTATATCAAGTTTTTACAAAACATTTATTTACGTAGTCTTAAAAAAATTAAAATCTGTTAAACCAATATTAAATTTGGACTGTACACTCTAAAGTTATAATATTAGTATAACTTGACAATTTTATTTAATCTATAATATTGATTCCTTTGATTCACCAATAAAAAGAAAAAATAGTATCAAATATATACTTAGAGTCTTCATGAATATGAATATGAATTGTGAGATAAAATTATAATTAAAATACAGGTTATTTTAAATGATTTTAATGGTTGTATTCTGGATAGTTGAGCAAGAAGGGACTATTTAAAATCAGTGCCTTAGGGACCATATAGCTTCTTAATATAGTAAAATTATGTACCAGTATAATGGTTTTTTATTGATTTTATCATAATTTTAATAACTATAACCGTCGAGTTGAATGCCCTTCTCTGAAATAAAACTTGTTTGATTATATTATAGCATGTTCAATTATAGAATAACAGTAGTACTTGTTTTTTTGTATAATCAGTTAGTTGTTAAGTATTGCAAAAAAGGAGGCACTACCTCTTTTTGAACTACTTGGCTAAATGAAAGAAATATTGGATAGGTTAGCATCAGTAACGGTTATATAGTGGAATCGAATGGTAGGTTCAGAATACTGCGTCTATAACTTTCATATTGTTACCGTTATAAAATGAAGTATTAGTTGTATTTATGCTTCACCTTCTTAAGAATAAATAATAATCATTACTGAACAGTCTTCAATATTGTGTTTGTTTTATTAAATAGTTTAGTTTGCTAAATGTCAAAAGACAATGTATTCATCGGTAGCTAAGTATACAATTATATGTTTTCTAACATTCACAAATGTCCTTGGAAGTTCCAAAGTTCAACAAAGAACCAATGAAACAGATTTCCCTCCATTGTTGGAATCGATTTTATCCTATATGGCTGAATCTAATGAATGGGAAAGTAAAGAGCCAAAAGACCACAAATACATCCAAAAAGAATATGATTTTATTGTAATTGGAGCAGGAAGTGCCGGAGCTGTAGTGGCAAGTAGATTATCAGAGGTATGCACAGAATTGAATCAATTTATAATAAGAGAATTTTATTCTATCTAATAAAAATTCCTTATTACTCTAAATAGTTTTTTTGAGGAAGTTAAGCTACAATGTGACACAATTTTTATAGTAAATATATAAGTTTATATAAGATATAAAATTTTATTTTAATCGAATATTTAAAAACTAATTACATGATGATAAAATTAATTTACTATTACAAATAGATCAACGGATGGGGTGTTTTACTAATAGAAGCTGGACAAAAGGCAACTCATATGATGGATATACCGTCTTTGGCAATTCATTTACAAACCACAGATGTTAATTGGAAATACTCTACAATTCCAATGAATAATTCTTGCTTAAGTACATAGAATAATTTTTTAAATAAATTTACGGAATGTAAAAAAAAAGAAAGATTTAATAAACAATTTTCTATAGGTCTTGATGAACGACGATGCAAGATACCAAGAGGAAAAGTGATGGGTGGAAGTAGCGTTTTGAATTTTATGATATACAACAGGGGTAACAGAAGAGATTATGATAATTGGGCTGCAATGGGCAATGAAGGTTCAAATTTTGTTCTTCTTGCATAGCTTATATGTGAGTTATTTAAATGTTATTTTAATTTTAGGTTGGTGTTACGATAACGTGCTTAAATATTTCTTGAAATCGGAAAGGGTCAACTTGTCACAAAATGAGGAAAAGTTTCATGGTAAAAAGGGGCCTTTATGGGTTTCTGATGTCAAATATAAGTCAAAAGTAGCTGAAGCTTTTATTAATAGTGCGTCACAAATTGGTCATCCTATCATAGACGTAAATGGCGAAAAACAAATAGGAGCAAATTATTTGCAGGTTTTTATTTAATATTTTAATATTTAATAAGATGTAAAAAAAAAATTATTTTTAATATGTATAGATGTAAAATAATGCGTTATATTTTCAATGTCTATAAATAAAATTATAGCACTTTTGAAAATTCTTTTGCTTATCAAACAGAATTTTACATTTGCAATAATTATTATTATGTAAAACGCAATTTTTTTTTAAATACAAAGAAAATATAAATAATATTATATATTATTACTATTAATTATAATTTATCATTAAGTAAATTAGTGTATCTAACATTTTCGTTAGAAAACATTGTCATATTTATTAAAACATGATATAAAAAATGATCATAGAATTAAATGTAATCAAGTCTAAGTTTAAATTAACATAGTGTACCTCTATAACATGAATTTAAATGTCAACAAATATAACAAAATAAAAAATTGTTACAAAAATCTTCAAAAATAATTTTTTATTTAACTGAATTAATATTATCACAATTTCCAGAAAATAGGAGACTAAGTAAAGTGCTAAACAACTAAGTACTTTTATGCAACAAAAAAAATAGAGGTATTGGCCCTATTAAAATATTTACTAAAAATGATTTTCTAATTTTTGAGAATATATTTTTTTTTGTATATTTAAGTATATAAGAGATATTAGACTTATAAATTTATTATTAATATTTTTATTATTAAATATTAATTGATTATTAATCTATAGATTTCTACTACAATAATTGTTCAATTAAAAAAAAAATTAATTCGGCTATCATTGGAGTATATATTGGAATATCTTGTATATTTCGATTTATAAGTATCATTAGATTTATCATAGATTTATAAGTAGTTTAAAAGTTATACATACATCGGACGAATAGGCTATCAAAAAAATATTTAACATAAAATAATATGAATCACACTTCACCCATAGTCAGTTTATTTAAAATTTTAATAATTTTAAAATCTAGATCAAAAGAGGTTTTCGTCTTAATTTCTTAATTGGATAAATTTCTATTATATGAGCTAGTTTTATGCATGTTATATTAGGGATGGACTATAAAAATATTCCATTATTTAAAAATTATTATTATTTTAGGAGAAAATTAGTAATAAACGATGTATAAATCATTCTGTATATAGACTGAATAAATGGAAAACATTTTCTTTTAATCCCCACAAATATTTGACTTCTTTTGTCCTCTAATTCTATACAAAAATGTCTGTTTAGCATCATTAATTTTTTTTTTTGTATATCTGATTTTTCTTATAGTTTTTGATTTATGTCAAAGCTTTTTTTACGATTGAAAATTGTAAAAATAGGATTGCCTACCTAGCTTAGTTGCGAATACGTTGTGCCTCATGAGATAGGTTCCGGGGTTCAATTACGTCGTGCTGGACTATGTAGGCTTTATGCTCCCTCTGTCAGATGCAAACATTTTAAAAGAAGAAGTTAAATATTAATAAATAAATTATTTAATTACTATAAAAGTATATCATACTATTTATCGATAATAATGCGATTTAGAAATATATACGTTTATTTTATTAGTTTTGTGAGTCTTTGTAACTGATTTTGTATAAATTTATAAATAAAAATAAGATTGTTATCGCTATTGAAGGAAATGGGATTTAAATCCACATTAAATGTTTTATTGAACTTTTCAGTTAATCTTACATGATTTCTTTTTTTTTAACAGATTCAAGTAACTGGATTTTATTTTTAGATTTCTCAAAATCTTTTTTATAATACATCCACTAATTAATTATTGAATTGAACATTTTTTTTTGTGTTTTTTTGTTATCATAAATAGTCTTTAGAATAATATATTTATTATTAATTATTAATATACCAATAGCTTACACAAAAAATTGAATAAATAAGAATTCAGGTTAAAAACAATGGAAATGTTGGGAATTTTTATTTTTAATTAATTGTAAACTCATATTAAAATATCATAAACTCTTAGCTTTATACAATGGATAATTCTTAAAATTTCTAATTATGTCTTGAAAAAAGTGTTAAATAATATTTTGATTTTTTAGGTTACAATGAAAAACGGTCGTAGATGGAGTACCAATTCAGCTTTTTTGTATCCAGCAAGTAAAAGAAAGAATTTACACGTAAAAAAATATAGTACAGTCACTAAAATTTTAATTGATTCAGTCTCAAAAACAGCAATTGGAGTAGAATATGTGAATGGACATAAAAAATATAGAGTTTATGCTAGAAAAGAAGTTATAGTATGTGGTGGTGCAATTAATTCACCACAATTGCTAATGTTGTCAGGCATTGGACCTGAAGCTCATTTGAAAGAAAAAGGCATTCCTGTATTGAGTAATTTACCAGTGGGTGAAAATTTAATGGATCATATATCACTTGGTGGACTTTTTATTATAATAAATGAGACTATATCAATGAAATTAAACAGATTATTAGAAGACCCATATTTTATTTACAACTATACTACAGGTGATGGTGGTGCTGCATCGTTAGCAGGTGGTACAGAGGCATTGGCTTTTTTCGACACTCAAAGATTAAATGATCTAAATGGCTATCCAAATCTGGAATTGCTTTTTTCCACGGCATTTACCGCAGCTGATGGAGTTCACAGATTATTTGGATTACGAACAGATATTTTTGACAGAGTATATTATCCTATTAAAGATAAAGACAGTTTTATAGTGTTTCCAATGGTCATGCGACCTAAAAGTAAAGGTCGTATTTGGTTAAGAGATACGAATCCCTTCCACCATCCATTTATTGATCCTAATTATTTTTCAAACAAGGCCGATTTGGATGTGATAGTTGCTGGCGTTCGTATTGTTCAGCGAATGTTAAAGACAGACGCTATGAGAAAACTTGATGCCCAAATATTGACAACTCCGTTGCCTGGTTGTACCAAATACGTTTTTGATTCGAACGCCTATTGGAAATGTGCAGCCCGACAAATTAGTTATTCTATGTATCATTTATCTGGTACATGTAAAATGGGACCAGTTGGTGATCCCACTGCGGTAGTTGATCCAAGACTTCGTGTTNAGACCCTACAGCGGTAGTTGATTCTAGGCTTCGTGTTCATGGTATCAAACATCTTAGGGTTATAGATGCATCAATAATGCCTGAAATTCCAGTTGGTCACACAAATGCTCCCACCATTATGATTGGTGAAAAAGGAGCAGATATGATTAAAGTAGATTGGAATAAACTAGTTTGATTGATATTTCCCCCACAGAAGATAGGACGAAACAACATAATTAAATTAATTTACAAGATAATATTATTATAATTTAAATAACAATGAAAAGTTTTTTTTTGAATTTACTTATTTTTATCATAATTTAAAATACTTTTAGTGATGAGTAATTGTTAAGATCTATTAGAGCTTCAAACTCTATTCTTTATTGGATGTATGTATTATAATTCCTATTTATAGACTGAATTAGTAACAAATGTATAATCATTAAGTTTAAAACTAGTAAAGAATGAAGTAAAATTTGTCTGGACAATAATATTGGTGGCTTTATTATTATAATTATTATTTATTATTTTATTTTTATTTTTTGTTGTATAGCTTTTATGCATCTCTTTTTGTCGATTTACTTAAAGTCTATTTATGCTGTATAATTAATATAATCTAAGAGTTCAAGTAAAAATATTATTTTTTCTTACAAATAAGTAGATATTATTGACAATTTTCATAATTGTAGTGATTTTACGATAGTAATTATTGTAACTACTATCGCAAAAAAAAAATTAACCCTTAACTAGTCACCATCGAATAATTACACAGACTGTGACGTCGGGTCATAGTGACCCTTAGTTTGGATTTTTGAAGTTTTACTTAATTTTGGATTAAACTGATTAATAAAAAATAACTTCATTTCATAAATTTTGTATTTCACTTGTGTATTGAAAAAAAATAATGATAAATTAATGAATAAGAATAATCAACAAGATGATGAACAATATCAAGAAGTGCGTTTAATGTTTTATAAGGACCCATGTTGTAACCCAGCATATATTTCAAATTTTAACAAATAAAAGGTTTTATTATCTACCAATGCAAATACTTTAATTCCATATTTTTTTTTGCTTGTTTGGTAAATACTGTTGATAAGGACACCTACCCCTAAACGGAATTAACTTCTCATCTATTGTTGTGTATTCGGTTGGTGTATACGCAAGCTCAAACTTTTTCTCAAATATATCGAGTATTTCACGGACAGCTGCAAGTTTGTCAGTTATTTTCTCTTTTCTCTAGTATGTATATTGTGAAAACGAATGCAACGATATAAAAATAANCAAACGGACAGCTGCAAGTTTGTCAGTTATTTTCTCTTTTCTCTAGTATGTATATTGTGAAAACGAATGCAACGATATAAAAATAAAAAACGTTTAAAGGACATTGCTAAAGAAAAAATTGAAGGTCCATCTTTATCCCATAATTCTTCAATATTCAAATGAGCAGCTTGATAAACGCCAGAAATCAGTAAAAGCTGTAATTTCTATTATATCAGTATTTTGGGCATCTGTAATTTTTTTATAATTTTTTCATAATATAAATATTTGTATTTTTTACTAAAATATCCATTAATTTCTCATAAAAATATAATTTAAACGCGTCGTGTGGTGTTTTAGCATTTTTAGCTATACCTTTCACACCAGGTAAATGAGTAATTATATTATCTTGCCTCGTCCGACCACTCACTTTTATTGGTTTCTTATTCTATTTGGTTTTCTTATCTTTACTAAAATAAAAACTATTAGGTTCACTTACATCATTCACTTCATCATCGTCTGAAGACGTACCTAAATCTGATTCCATATCATGTTCACTTTCTTCAACAAAATCTTCGTCGTCTTCAGAATTATCATCAGATAATTGCTCTTCTTCTTGTCTCAAAAGTTCTGCTTCTATCTCATTATCTGTGATAAACTTTTCCATTATTTTAAAATAATAAAATTAATATAGATTTGGTAATATAAACAATCATGCGTCTGACTGTTTCGCTGTTGATTAGATGAACCCAATGTTTTCTATTTTTTGGTTTTGTTTTAAGGTATAAATACACTAAAGAACCAAAAGTAAAAACATCATGTGTATCCATCGTTAGAAGTAAAAATTATTCTAATAACACTACTTTTTACCACAAGTATTATATGGTGAATGTACTATTTTAGTAACAATTTCAATTAGATTTATTTTTAACGGACGTCATACCAACGCTCGTGTGCCCACTCTAGTACGCGCATTAAAAAGTACGTCAGTCGTAACGTGCCCATTATATACGCTCGTGTGACACCAGCCTTAAGGGTTAACGTAATTATTTCTTACAAAAAGTAAGAACGTTTTGAATCTTTTTTAGTATCAAATTTTTTTTTATTAATCATTTACTGTTCATTTTTAAATTATAAATATTCGATGAAATTATAATATTTTTCTGGTTTTTTAATGTAGATTTAAATAAATGTATTCCGTTGGTAGATTACTTAAACTCCACGTTTTATAAACTAGAAAGCTCTAAGTATTAGATTGTTAATATTAATTGAAAATATAATATAATATTTAAGATTATTGAAAAATTGCGTGTACTTCATTGTTTCAATAAGAATATTTTAAAAATAAAAAAACCCAGCACAGGGGGGTCGCGGCACAGTGGTGACGTGGCATAGATAGATCAAGTATAATGATCTCTGACAGTGATTAAAATCACTATAAAAAAAAAACGCTTCAATGCAAATCTTTAGATAGTGTTTAATTTAAAAAAATTGGTGGATTATTCTAAAAGCTACATGTTCTGCTACTTTATTATTAATATCCTAATTAAGATAAAGTATATCGAATGAAAAAGGGATTATTAAAAAATATTCTTTCTTATAAAAAAATTATGTTGATCCATACAATTTTCAATAAGTTATAGCATTATAATGTTAAAAATGTAAAAAATAAAATCGAAAATTTTCACACAAAAATAGCATTTGATAGCCATTTTAACCATGAAGATAAAATAAAGTCTGAAATTTTTTTTTCGCATAATAAAGTACATTACATTAGCTTTAATTTAAGATATATATAAAAGTGTCAGACTTTCCGGAACACTTTCAAAATTTAAGTTGAAAAAGTAAATTTTTTGTGAAAAAGTTGTCATTTTGANGTTGAAAAAGTAAATTTTTTGTTAAAAAGTTGTCATTTTGATTCCCCCCCTGTAAGTAGGTAAAGGGTCAGATTTATAAAAAAAATATACCAAATGAAAGGTATTGATATCATACATCTATATAAAAAGAATTATATTGATATATTCATTTTTGAAAAAGTTATGGCACTTTTAAGTAAAAAACATTAAAAAAATTTCGAAAATAAGCGATTTTTAAATTTGTAATTTTTTTGGAGGTTTCCCCCATTTACGGGGAACGTGAGAATTTTTTTCAATTTTTGAGAATAATGTCTTCAATTAGATACAATTTGTGATCTTTTGACGTATCATTGAAAGAAATCGGTTCGGTGAGAGCTGAGAAAATGTGATAACAGACACAAAAAAAAACACATCATAGTAAATTAATACCTTCTCAGCTACACATCGAAGCTAAAAAAATGATAAATATAAAATAAAAACGAATTACAATAATTTTATCATAAAATTAAGGTAAGAATTATTTCTTACCTTTGTATTAAAGCTAAAATGTAAAATTCATAATTTTTTTTTTATTTCACTGTTATATAACTAACGAAAACGTTTTTTTTTTTTATTTTAGATAGTCCTCTAATGTAATGTAATACAATTTGTGATTTTATGGCGAATGTATCGTTTAGAAAAATGAGACTAATAGGAGCTGACTAATAGTGAATACAGAACCAAACAAAAAAATGTTTAATAAACACACCCTAGTAATACTTATGCTTCCTCAAGTTCACATTGAAGTTCTAATATAATATTATTTTATTTTTTAAAGATTAGTTTTCTATTACGTAATAGTGTATACTATCTAAGCGAATGACCTTGTTTGAAGTCAAACAAGTTTAAACAAGAGCCTGCGAGGAGTACTCTAGCTGATTTTACCCAGGCCACGTACCTATGTTTTAATGTTATCCACGAAAAATGTCTTATAAGAAATAAATCAAAGAAAGTATTTAGTTATATCACAATGTCGGTAGAGATTTAACGTTGAACGTTTAATCTTGAACTTCTTTGATAATTAATAACTATGTTTTCAAATACTTTAAAACTAGTTGCTATTTATATATTAACTTTTCCATTTTTTATTGGATGCTTTTGGTCTAAATATGATTACGATGGTTCAGTATATCCTCCTGTAATGGAATCGATGCTGTCGTATTTATCCGAATCACTAGAATGGGATGCCCAAGAGCCGAAAGATCAGGAAAATATCTTAACGAAATATGATTTTATTGTAGTTGGAGCAGGTAGTGCTGGAGCTGTTGTAGCAAATAGACTATCAGAAGTATGTACAGAAATTAATCGTTACTTTTTCAATCAAAATGTATCATTATTCCGAACAGTATTTTTGAAAAAATTTAATTAAATAACTGATACAATTTTTATTGTAAATATAGAAGTTGAACATTTTATTTTATCCCAATAATTTTAAAAGACTTATATGATTCTAAAAATAAATTAACTATTGCAAACGTACTAAAGTATTCAGGTTTACTATTTTATTACAAACCATTACATTTATTGAAAAATAAAAATAATATTGATCAATTGTTTGTTTGTACCTTTTAGTTTCATGTTTTTCTCAATTTATCAACCATGAAGTATTTTCTACATTCATCCCTTATACTTTATAAGTGTCAAAATTAATTTGTTAAACGGCAACAAACACGATTAACTAGTTTATTTACTAGTTTAAAAATCTTATTCAGAAAATAAATGATTGATAACGATTTTGGACCAATATATTATAAATAATCAATAATTTAAAGTAATAACTGACGGTTACGTAAATTGCTGTTATTTTTATCATTAGATATTTTTCAGCCCCATTTCTTTTTTGTGGTTATGTAAAGAAATGTTAATAATATGTTAAAATTGGTCCAAAGGTTGTTATCGATCAATCATTTTTTTAATTAGATATTTATCAAATAAATAAACTAGTTAAAAGCGTATGTTGTCATTTGATAATTAAAATTGAAAATTTTAAAAGGTATAAGTGATGAACATAAAAAATACTTCACAGTTAATAAGCTGAGAAAACATAAAACTAAAAGTATTTAATAAAAAAATTATCAATATTACATTAATTTTCGATTAATTAAATAGTTCGAGGGAAAATAATTGTCCGGTAGGTTAGAAAATGTAAAAATAAAATTTATGGAGAAATTAAATAAAATTTGATTTTATACAAGTAAACAAACAATGTTTGATTAAAAAAAAATATAGTCATAGTATTAAGATTTTTTTAAATTAAAATTTATGAATATGTATTGTTAGATACCTCAATGGAATGTATTATTAATTGAAGCCGGCCGAAAATCTTCTCATATCATGGATATACCAGTTTTAGCTATTCTATTTCAAGCTACCGAAATTAATTGGAAATATTCTTCAGTATCGAAAAACAATTCTTGCTTAAGTATTGAACTTTTACGCGCAATGAATTTTTTAGTATAAATAAAAAAAGTTAAAAATAACAACAGGTTTTGACGAGCAACGCTGTAAGATACCAAGAGGAAAAGTAATGGGAGGAAGTAGTGTTTTGAACTTTATGATATATACAAGAGGTAACAAAAAAGATTACGACTCCTGGGTCGCAATGGGTAACGAAGGTGTGTAATAAAATTATTTAATTTTTATAAATTTAATAATAATTTGATATTTTGTAGGTTGGGGTTACGACCAAGTGCTTAAATATTTCATAAAATCAGAAAGAGCCAATTTATCAAGGAGCGACGAAAGTTTCCACGGCAAAGATGGACTTCTTTGGGTTAATGATGTTCCATATAAATCTCACGTATCTGAAACTTTTATAAAGAGCGCATCTCAAATTGGACATCCGATCATTGATATAAATGGTGATAAACAAATAGGAGCAAATTATTTGCAAGTATAATGTTAAATTAATAACTTAAGTTTTAAATAATTTGTTTAATTATTCTAGCATGTATTACAAAAAACTAAAACTAAAATTAGACTAAACTAATATAGCATTTAAAATATATTAGCTTCGATGCGAAGCTGAGAAGGTATTGGTTTTACTAAGCTGTGTTTATTTTTTTTTTTTTTTTTTTTTTTTGTCTGTTACCACTTTTTCTTAGTTCTCACCGAACCGATTTCTTTCAATGATAAGTCAAAAGATCACAAATCGTATCTAGTCGAAGACATTACCCTTAAAAATTAAAAAAAATTCCCACGTTCCCCGTAAATGGGGGAAACCTCCAAAAAAATTACAAATTTAAAAATCGCTAATTTTCGACATTTTTTCAATTTTTTTTACTTAAAAGTGCCATAACTTTTTCAAAAATGAACATATCAATATAATTCTTTTTTATATAGATGCATAATATTATTACCTTTCATTTGGTATATTTTTTTCATAAATTTAACCCTTAACCTGCCCACAAGGGGGATTCAAAATGACAACTTTTTCACAAAAAATTAATTTTTTTAACTTAAATTTTGAAAATGTTCCGGAAGGTCTGACACTTTTATATATATCTTAAATTAAAGCTAATGTAATATACTTTATCATGGAAAAAAAAAAATTTCGAACTTTATTTTATCTTCACGGTGAAAATGGCTATCGAATGCTATTTTTGTGTGAAAATTTTCGATTTTGTATTTTACATTTTTAACTTTATAATGCTATAACTTATTGAAAAGTGTATTGATCAATATAATTTTTTTATGGGAAATACTATTTTTTAATAATCCCTTTTTCATTCGACATACTTTATCTTAATCAGGATATTAATAAGGAACTAGCAGTTTATGAAGCTTTTGGAATAATCCACCAATTTTTTAAAATTAAACACTATCTAAAGATTTGCATCGAAGCGTTTTTTTTTGATAGTGATTTTAATCACTGTCAGATATCATTATACTTGATCCAACTATGCCACGTCACCACTGTGCCGCGACCCCCCTGTGCTGGGTTTTTTTAAAATTTTATATTAATTAATTTAATTTAACAAAATATTCAATCATTTTTTAATTTTTTGACACTCAATCTAAATAGAAAAATACAATCTCAAACCGAGAATAGAGTTTATTTTTCCCTGCAGACGTTTAAACAACACTAATTAATCCATTTTCCTTTAAAATTGTAAACATTTAAAGAAAATTATTTTTAGTATATTTTAATTTCATATATTTCTTGATTTATCAGTTATTAAATTTTATTTAATTCATTCCTTATAATTTATAATGGTTTCAACTTTATTTTTAATGTAAAATTAAAAACCAAATAATTAAATTAGATTTAGCTTCGATGCGAAGCTGAAAAGGTATTGGTTTTACTATAATGTGTTTTTTTTTTGTGTCTATTACTACTTTTTCTCAGCTCTCGTCGAACCGATTTCTTTCAACAATACGTTAATAGAACAAAAATCGTATCTAGTCGAAGACATTACCCTCAAAATTGAAAAAGTTTCCCTCGTTCCCCGTAAATGGGGGAAATTTCCAAAAAAATTACAAATTTTAAAATTGCTAATTTTCGAAATTTTTTCAATTTTGTTTACTTAAAACTGCCATAACTTTTTTGAAAATGAACATATCAATATAATTTTTTTTTTATAGATGCTTGATGTCTTTACCTATCATTTGGTATATTTTTTTTATAAATTTAACCCTTTACCTTCCCACAGGGGGGGATTAAAAATGACAACTTTTTCACANAACCCTTTTCCTTCCCACAGGGGGGGATTAAAAATGACAACTTTTTCACAAAAAATTAACTTTTTCAACTTAAAATTTGAAAGTGTTCCGGAAACGCTGACATTATTATATATATACAGAGTGGAACGGATCTAATTGACAACTCATATAACTTATGATCTACATAACATTTTATATATAATTTTTTTAATCAATTTTTACAATATAGAACTATATTTAAAATATGTTTTGAGTTATTTTTTGCAATTACAAAAAACATTTTAAAAATAAATTTTTTTATTAAAGTTTTTTTTTAAGATTTTAAGATAGCCATTTTATAGATAAGTTTTAAAAAAAAATGTTGATACCAAAAACTCTTATTTTAATTCAGTAGTTACGTTTAGATAGCAATTTGAAATTTATGAAATTTTGATTTTTTTTACAATTATTCCTATGGTATCAATATTAGTTCATATTATGTAAAGTACAGAAGTAAACACTTCTGTAAACACTGTAAGCATACAAAAGAAATTTTTATTGTTTAAAAACATGGTGATGATCAAAAAATGATTTAATTACTATTTTTTATTGAATCGTCGTCAGATTTATAGATGACAGATATAAAAAATATTAAGAGCGCTGTTCCGTGGGGAGGGAATTGCCCTATCACTCTTTGCCAAAAACGCCCCTGGATATGAAGCACGAGTATGACAGTATTTATTATTAGACATTTATCGGCAATAAAAAAATGTTAATTACTTCTAAAATAATGGACCAAAAGTTGTTATTCAAATGTTATTTTTTTAATTAGATCATATTTTATTTTATATAAGATTGTTAAATATTAATGTTTCAATTAAAAACTAAAATTGGCGGCCTTTTAAAGATATCAGGAATGAATTAAAAAAGTAATAAATAACCGATAAAGTAACATATTCTATTTATTAAAAAATATTTATTAAACCACATAAGTAAATTACATTTTGAATTGCATTACAGCCAAACCAAATTTCTTTTTTTATTCTGTTCTATTTTTAATGAAAAATTACAGTGTTTTGATATTTTTTAATATCATTTAGTATATGCCTAAAATTTGCGTTTAAATGTGTCATATGTTTTATGGTGTACAACACTGAAGTAAAATAACTTTATATTGAGATACATATTTGAAAGTAATTTAAGGTTTTTGTTTTAGACAACCATGATGAACGGTCGAAGGTGGAGTACTAACGCAGCATTTTTGTTTCCAGCAAGAAAAAGAAAGAATTTACACGTAAAAAAATACAGTACAGTTACTAAAATTTTAATTGATTCTGTCTCAAAAACAGCGATTGGAGTAGAATTTGTGAATGGGCGTAAAAAATATAGAGTTTATGCTAGAAAAGAAGTTATAGTTAGTAGTGGTGCAATAAACTCACCACAATTGCTAATGTTGTCGGGCATTGGACCTGAAGCTCATTTAAAAGAAAAAGGCATTCCTGTGCTGAGGAATTTACCAGTGGGTGAAAATTTAATGGATCATGTATCATTGGGTAGTGTTTTCATTTTGATAAACAATACCATTTCTATGAAAATGAACAGATGTTTAAATAATCCATATATTACTTATAACTTCAGCGTAGGACATGGCGGTCCGGCGTCATTACCTGGTGGCACAGAAGCATTGGCATTTTTTGACACACAAAAGCCTAATGATCCTAATGGATATCCTGACTTAGAGTTACTTCTATTGTCAACGTCATACACGGCAGATACTGCACTTCACAGATATTTTGGCATGCGTAAAGACTTTTATAATAAAGTTTATTACCCAGTTAGAAATAAAGACAGTTTCATGATTTTTCCGATGGTTATGCGCCCTAAAAGTAGAGGACGTGTATGGCTGAAAGATACTAATCCATTTCACTATCCACTTATCGATCCTAATTATTTTGCTGATGAGGCTGACTTGGATGTAATCGTAGCCGGCGTGCGTATTATTCAAAAGATGTTGAAGACTGATGCAATGCGACAACTAGACGCTCAAATATTGACAACTCCGTTACCAGGTTGCACCGACATTTCCTTTGATTCAGACGCTTACTGGAAGTGCGCGGCCAGACAGATTAGCTATTCGATTTATCATTTATCTGGTACATGCAAAATGGGACCAATAGGCGATCCTACAGCAGTGGTTGATCCAAGGCTTCGTGTGCATGGTATCAAACATCTTAGAGTTATAGACGCTTCAATTATACCTGAAATTCCTGTTGCTCACACAAACGCACCAACTATTATGATTGGAGAAAAAGGAGCAGACATGATCAAAGAAGATTGGAATGTACCTTTTTGATTATCATTTTTAAAACTTGGTTTGATATTAACTATTATGTGTCGTTATGATGATCTAATTTATTGATTGGATTTTATTAAGTCTTTTGACTTTTTAAGGATTATATATTCTAAAGTAGTTCATATTATCATAATATGAACTACTTTAGAAATAAACACAAACTCAATTCCATTCTATTATTATAGTACAAATAGCAAAACTTAAAATGTATGTTTTTGATCAATATTGAAAAAGTATGCATTTTATTTTCGAGACCAAATTTTGCAGTTGATTATTTAAAATCACTGGTTTAATCTCAAATTTTTTGGATCGTTTGATGGTTTATGTTATCAAATTGAATAATTTTTATTTTTCGTTTTGTGATATCAGTTCATATTTTTAGTAATTTTTTTATAGCTTATTTATGAAGTATTCAAATGTCAGATCTAATTGCTATATATTAATTTTGTTTAATAATAATATGAAAAATTGGTTTAGATTAGTTTATTTATTTGTATTACATAAATCATTGAGGTTCAGTATTTGATGAACTTATCTTTTTAGATGTCAAAATTTAGTACGTTTAAATAAAATTTTATTTTTATATTTAAAATTTATATATTGCAAAACAAACTTTTTTAATTTTACTATTTAATAAATGAAAAAATGTGGTCATATATTGCATTAATTTATTTTTACCGAAAATATTTCTATTACATATTAATGAAGCCTTAAACTATCAATTTTTGAAATAATTCAAATATAGTTAAATTTTTTTAGTTGAGTATTATATAAAAGCATAAATAATGAAATACTTTAAAAGTTTGCAAGAAAAATTAACTTTTACACACCTGTATTATAAGATGATTCTTATAAATGAAGTTGCTCCAAAATTCTATCATTAGAAATAATTACAATAAACTTGATATTTACTTGATTCATAAAAATAAATTTATATAAAAAAATAGTCTAGGGTAGTATTCTTAAGATATCATAATAAATAGATAGAAAAATAATCACTCTATTGTACAATTATAGTTACACAAAATAATAATTTTTAAGTATTAAAATAATTAATAAGTGCTATTAGATTCGAAACTAATTCTCATAAATTAAATTTTAGTCCAATGTAGGTTGTTATTTATTCGATTGAATAGTAATTTTGGTGTAAATTTAGTCTTCGTTAGACAGACTTAAATGACGTTATAATTTTAAATAAACAGTGGATAATTTATTTTGTAATGTTGTTTATATTCATGTGTTAAATTCTTAGACTATTCAATAATTAAAAGTAATTAAAATTAGTGTTTCAACATATAGTTCAATTTATATTTATTATATACATATAAGTATACAAATGTGGAGTTTTAATAGGTGAAGAATAATCAATTAAAAATTTAATAAAAAAAAGTAAAGGTCATAACAGTACAATTTTTAAAATTGTAAATACTTCCATACATTTTTGCGTTTTTAAATGTTAAAAAAAAATATTTGTTTTTTGATTACTTATAAAACTGAATGTATTTTTTTTATTCGTGTATAATTTATAACTATACATAATTTTAAAAGAGGTGAATGTACGGGTTAAGATTAAAACAAGTTTAAATTACAGTTCACAAACAGGAAATGCATGTTGCTTTATTTAATTTTTCATTGGCATTGGTCAACCATTAAGAGATTCAAACATTTAATCAATTCGATATAGGATTCAAGAGTCACGCTTAGTTGTAACACTATGATTAAAAGAATAAATTATTGATATTTTAACAACTGAATTCTATTAATTTGTTTGTGATTAAAAGAACAATGTACTTACTTAAAGTAATTTTAATTTTCGTTTGTGTGATTACGCTTCCAGTGGTGAGTGGATTTTTGGAACATAAAGAAAATAATGACAATATAGAATTTCCCACTCTAACTGAATCGATTTTATCGTATGTTATTGAGTCTAAAGAATGGGAAGCTAAAGAACCACAAGATCAAAATCAGATCCTTCAAGAATATGATTTTATAGTTGTTGGCGCCGGAAGTGCTGGTTCCGTTGTAGCAAACAGACTTTCAGAGGTAATTGAATCAATATAGTTTATTATACACATTTTTTTTTTAAGTGAAATTATCAACTTCAAAATTTTCTACTTTAAAAAAAATTTTTTAAATGAGATTTACTGATTAGTTTCTTTTCACTAAGTCACTTAGTGATTAGTCACTTTCAAATTATTGTCTTTAAACGAATTATAATCATGCACTTAGGTTGAAAGATGGAAAGTGTTGCTTATTGAAGCTGGTCATAAAGCTTTACATTTAACTGACATACCAGTTTTAGCTGTACAATTACAAGGAACAGATTTCAATTGGAAATATAATTCAATACCAATGAATGGCTCTTGTTTAAGTACTAATATTATACTCACAATTTATTGTTAAACTTTATGTTAGGGAATGTATCTCGAATAATTTATTATCTATAGGCTTTGATGAACAACGATGTAAAATAGCACGAGGAAAAGTAATGGGAGGAAGCAGTGTTTTGAATTTTATGATATACACAAGAGGTAATAAAAGAGATTATGATAATTGGGCCAAGATGGGAAACGAAGGTAAGTGAACCAATCAACTATTTATTTAGATATATATCAATATCTATTTTATACATTTAAAAATGTTAAAGTATAATATATATTTGTAAAAATCACCTTATAATTGTTTGATTACAATTAAAAAAATATAAATAAAATCTTTGTTAAATGCTTCATTTTTATAGGCTGGGATTACAAACAAGTGCTCAAATATTTTATCAAATCAGAAAGGGCCAATTTATTAAAAAGCGATGAATATTTTCACGGAAAAAATGGACCACAATGGGTTTCTGATGTCCAGTATAGATCTCAAGTAGCTAAAGCTTTTGTCAAGAGCGCATCTCAGATGGGTCATCCTAATATTGATATAAATGGAGAAAAACAAATAGGAGCAGATTTTTTGCAGGTGTTATTCTTTTTTTGCAATGAAATATTGATCAGAATAAATAATACTATTATACTCAATCCATAAATGTTTAAGTATAAAAAATGACCAAGTTAGGTAATATGTATAACTATCCTTTTATATTAGCTGTATAAAATTATTATATAAAAAGTTATTTAGTAAATACAAATATTAATCTACATTTTATAATTAAATATATATAAATTTAAAATATTAATATCTATAATTTTTTAAATTATTTTGATCAAGTATACAAGAGAAAACTTAATCAAAATATAAGATAATCAATTAAAGCAATCAGAATAGAGATACAATATTTTAATTTTTTCTTTACAAAAAATATAAAAACTAATTTTTCTTAAATTTAAAAAACAAACAAGACTTGTTAACTTTTATCATGAGAACAATGATGTTTTGATGAAATGTTAATATTATTCATAAATATAACTCTCTAAACCCAGGAAGGATTTAAGGAATTTTAACCCAACTTAATAATAAAATTTACCATTGCTATTTTTCATTTTGAAAAAAACGGTTACACATTTTTTTTTTATTTGAAATTCTCTCAATTTGCATACATTGCCGATATTTCACTTCACTACATACACACTTACTTAATATATCATTGTTATAATGTAATAATAATAATAGTATAAGAAATAAGTGTGTAATGTAAAATTTAATATCAAGAAAAAAGTATTGACTACTTTTTAGTCAATAGATTTTTACCAAACATTTCAGAAAACAGAACAAATTTTCAGGGCAAAATATGATTGTAAAGAGACAGTAGCGTATTTACGGAGGAAAGAAAGTATGGCAATTGCTCTCTCAACTTCATCCCCAAGCAATTTTTTTGCATATGGATATTTTTTATTAATAGGATGAATACAACTAATACTTAATAATATTTTTTTAATTTAAATTGATTTAGAAATAATTTTTATGTAAAATCTAATTATTTGATTTTTGATTGGAAGTAATTTAACTATTATGATTAGGGCAGTTAATGGAAAATTTTAAATACTGACCATGGTATAATAATCTTAATAATCAATTGATAGCTTTAATCATCAAACTACTAGTTCAATTCAAAACTTGAATGAAATATGCATTAATGGACTGCTACAGTGCTATAGCATAGTGGGTAAGAGTTCATTGAGCTACTTAAATATTTTTTAAATATATATATATATATTTAATTTACATGTTTGTATAATTATAAATTGAATTTTTCCCCCAATCATAAAATTGGCTACTGTAAAGAACTCACAAACAATATGGAATATTATAATATAAGGTTTAATTGTCAATTTTAATAATCATTTTAGGTAAAAATTAAATAAATTTAATAGGGAACTAGTAGCATAGATTATTTTCCACTAAAACCTAACATGCTATTTATAAAAAAGACAGAAGTTTTTATCTAAAAAATTAGAATAAATAAATTCACTACACATTCGTAGATTTAATTTATTTTTGTATTTAATAAATATAATAAAATTTAAATAGATTTTTATTCTAAAATTTTTTAGAGGTAGGAAGTTCGGCTTATATTGTCTTGAATATAATATATTAAATAGTGAGTTTATTAAACATTGTATTAAATAATTAATAACAATTTATGTAGGTTACAATGAAAAATGGTCGAAGATGGAGTACTAATGCAGCCTTTCTATATCCAACAAATAAAAGACGTAATTTACATGTGAAAAAGAATAGTACAGTTACTCGAATTATAATCGATAAAATCACAAAAACTACTGTCGGTGTTGAATTTGAAACAAATCAGAGAAAGTTTAAAATATACGCAAAAAAAGAAGTGATTATTTGTGGCGGTGCAATTAATTCCCCCCAATTACTTATGCTTTCGGGTATTGGACCAAAAGACCATTTGAAAGAAAAAGGAGTTGAAGTAATAAATAATTTACCCGTCGGTGAAAACCTTATGGATCATATATCACTAGGTGGTCTATTAATATTGATTAATGATACTGTATCGATAAAATTAGAGAGGTTGCTGCAAGATCCATTGGTCACATACAACTTTACTTCATGTAAGTCAAGTCCTGCATCATTAGCGGGTGGCACAGAAGCTTTAGCGTTTTTTGACACTCAAAAGCCTAATGATCCTAATGGATATCCTGATTTAGAGTTGCTTATGTCAGCATCATTTTCAGCCGGTTCTCCAACTCATAGATTTTTAGGCTTACGAACGGACGTCTACCAAAAAGTGTTTTATCCAGTTCAGGAAAAAGATAGCTTTATGGTGTTTCCTATGGTAATGCGACCAAAGAGCAGAGGACGTGTATGGCTGAAAGATACTAATCCATTTCACTATCCACTTATCGATCCTAATTATTTTGCTGATGAGGCTGACTTGAATGTAATCGTAGCCGGCGTGCGTATTATTCAAAAGATGTTGAAGACTGATGCAATGCGACAACTAGACGCTCAAATATTGACAACTCCGTTACCAGGTTGCACTGACATTTCCTTTGATTCAGACGCTTACTGGAAGTGCGCGGCCAGACAGATTAGCTATTCGATTTATCATTTATCTGGTACATGCAAAATGGGACCAATAGGCGATCCTACAGCAGTGGTTGATCCAAGGCTTCGTGTGCATGGTATCAAACATCTTAGAGTTATAGACGCTTCAATTATACCTGAAATTCCTGTTGCTCACACAAACGCACCAACTATTATGATTGGAGAAAAAGGAGCAGACATGATCAAAGAAGATTGGGGTATATGGGTGTAAATAATATTATTGTATTTAACAATAAGGAAGTATTATACTGAGTGATTGTTAAACTATGGTTAACGCTATATCTTTAAAATATAAATCTTTTATAATTTTAAACGTTCAAAACAAAAATTAATTGTTTCTTTTCTATTAAAAACGAGGGCGATTTGCTTTATTGTTTTCTTGCAATGATATGACGTAGGATACTATTAATTTCCGAAAATAAAAATATTATGACGTTTTAAAAGATATTGTGTCAGTCATAGATATATAATAACCTTGTATAGTTATTTAATGGTGTAAAATAGTCTTCTAATACATTTTTGATTATTTCTTTAGTTATAAAATTGTTTTTCTTAACTAACTTAGATTATCTGTTTCTACATAAAAAGTTATAATTAATGCAACAATATAATTATATAGTTGAAAGAACTATAATTTTACTGCTATTTTAACTAATATTTCTTAATTGTGAATCAAATTTATAAAATAGTAAAAATCATCAGATGTGTAAATATATTTTAATTATTCTACAGACATAATATCGATAAAATTCCATTACAATAAAATAATTCATACTAATTTAAAATTTACTTACTTTTCTTTATTATCACTTTAAATTATTTTAATAATGTCAGTTGATTATATTTTATAAAAATAAAAGTAAAACAGTTAATTTTATTGTAATAATCCAATCTAAGCTTCTTATTTATATTATTTGTGATGATTAAGTGATAATCTTGTAAAATATTTTCATTATAATTAGATTTCTAATACCATTATAAAATGGATTAGATACTATTAATTATTTTCGAATAAATTCTGTATTCTTCAAGAATAAATTTTTTAAATTATTAATAATAAAAAATATAATAAACCAAAATAATTTAATTTTAGAGTAAAAGAAAATTCTATTATGCAATTACAACTTATTTACATACCATATAAGAGCTCAAGTTGTATATTTTCAAATATTTAACAGAAATATTTTAATTTTACAAGATTTTATATTCAAATAAGTTCGGTGATATACAATAGCTATACTGGTTAAGCCACTACTGCTCGAAATGCTAGTATTAGTGCAGTACTGCGCCTGTTGTTAATTTTTGTTTGGATATTATCTATACTCTTTACATAAAACTTTTAATACAATTATCATTCTGTTAAATTAAAAAAAATTGAGATTCTTAATAAAAATATTTAGTTTATGAATTACATTAAATATTTTTTCAAAATTAAAATGATCTCACTCTTGATAGGCTGACATTTTTTCTTTTTTGTGTTACATAATAAAAACAAATTATACTCATTAGTTCACTTAAAACCATTAATTTAGGCCACATTAACACTCTTAAATCTAAAACAATAAGTATCCAATATACAGGGTGATTTTTTTATCATAACCCACTCAATTACTTACAGAATAATAATAAATTAAATATTTTTTTTCGATTATCTTTAGTTACACATCATTCTTGAATTATTAACTATGTAATACTTTTTAAATTCATCCCTTATGCCTGGTAAGGGTGTCAACTTTGTTTTTTTAAATCAGAACACATATTTTGAATTTAATAAAATGTTTGAGTTTTTAATTTAATAGTAAATGGCATTTGAATTTTTAGTATAACTTTATTTGTTTATTAGATATAAACATTTAAAGTTTCAAATTTTTGAGTTAATATTCATGTATAACACACAAGGGATTACAAATACAGGTAGCTAATTGGTTTTTTATGACATCGATATTAGCAGGTACACAGCATTGTTATTATCAATGATAGTAAGATACATTGTTGTGAGTTTATAAATACACTAACTGACAATACAAAAAGTATATCTATTGATAGTCATAATTGATAATAAACAATCCGTGACTGTGACAGCAATGACATAAAAAACCAATTAGTTACCTATATTTGTAATCCCTTATGTATTATATATGTATATTAACTTAAAAATTTGAAACTTTAAATGTTTATATCTAATAAACAAATAAAGTTATACTAAAAATTCAAATGCCATTTACTATTAAATTAAAAACTCAAACATTTTATTAAATTCAAAATATGTGTTCTCATTTAAAAAAACAAAGTTGACACCCTTACCAGGCATAAGGGATGAACTTAAAAAGTATTACATAGTTAATAATTCAAGAATGATGTGTAACTAAAGATAATCGAAAAAAAAATGTTTAATTTATTATTATTCTGTAAGTAATTGAGTGGGTTATGATAAAAAAATCACTCTGTATATAATCTGGTAACATTTCGTATTTTTTTTTTTTATACCAAATTTACTAAGTTATATTGCTTATTTAAATTTCTAAAATAAACTCAAAAGTTAGGGAAGAAATTAATGATTTTTGAAATGTTTGTGTAGAAAATTTAGCAATAAATTTATAAGAAATATTTCATAAATTCTATTATATGTCTTTAAATAAATGAGTAGATAATATGTCAAAATTATAGTTTATTCGTACTTATCACGTAAAACTTACTATTTTTTTTAATATCCAGTATATGTATATAAAGATTGATTGCACTATTCCATGCTTTTTCCATTATAATTATTATGACGACAGTTGATAATGATGAATAAGGTGACAAAATTTTTGCTCCTAAACATAAAAGAAGGATTTGTGTACTCCAGGATAGCGACAATCCAATAAATGTAGCCAAGCTCGGATAATCTAAAATTAATTAACTATAAAGACTACAAAAGAACTCCATTATGTATTTTATAAAAATTAAATAAATTATAAGAAAAAACATATTTAAAGTAACATACATATACTGAGTTTTCCCGATGGTTTGTTATCCAATATATAGACAAGAAACATAAAACAAAACAATGATGCTAACTTTGAACTTATAGCTATATGCATTGTTTGGAATAAACGGATGTAATTTATACACGAGTATAAAATTCCTAAAATACTTGTAGCTTTTATTATCCATTGACATAGAAGAATGCTATGTTCCTGTAATACAGACAGAATGTTGATTGCTAAATTATTGAAATAAATGTTTTATCTGAATGATATAAAAATATTTTATAAAATAATATATTAGTTATTTATTAATCGGAGTATGTTAAAAAAGTCGGACCTATATAATACGGCAAAACGCATACTATTACACAATGTAACAAGTTTTACGGCGATGAAGTTGATAACTTAATAAGATGCTAGACTAACGTAGTTGTATTGGAAGGCGCTTTATTTATATTCTAATGTTTTCTTAATTAATTAATTTTCTTAAATTTTTAATTTGTGGTATGATATTTAATATTTTACAAACATTTATCCCACCTTTATTAACTTATTCATATTCTAAGCGGCGACTAAATAATGTGCAGTAATATTATTTGTACCATTCTAAATATCAGAAGAATTTTAAAGTTATTCCGCATAAGAAAATATGTAATAAAAATTACTGGGAGATTTGTTGCATTTTTACAAATAGTCGTTTTAAGGTTTTAAAAATAAATGAGTATTTAGATATAAAGATTAAAATATCAATAAATAATTAAAAAAATAAAAAATGATGGAGCTTAGGATGGAGCAACATCCTTCAGATCAGATTGTCATGGACATTGGATAAGAAATGATTTAGATAGATAATACAAATACAATTCAAGATAAAAAACAATTATACTGTTAATATTTAACTTAAAGTAATACTATAAAGTAATATAGTGTAACTTGAGAAAACTAAGCTCCGCAAGTTGGAGAATAAGATACCTAAAAATGTAGAAATCTATATTTATTGTCAATAAATAAAAATAATTTCTTAAACGAAGGAGAAATTAATTCAGAAACTCCAACAATGTTATTGTAATTTTTATTTCATTGAATAACTATAAATGTTATTATTTTATATAATCAAAGACTTGAAATTATTAAAAAAATAAGTACTCAAAAGTTAGATTTGAATTATTCACAATTAACTGAAACCTGAATGCCTGGAATATGCTTTAAGCTTTATATTCAAAGTAATAGTGAAATTTCCAGATTATTAAGTCAGAGATATATTTAAAAGGATATCTTTAGTCAAAAAGCTGAGCCAACAGCTATATTAAAAAAGGTACCATTTACCATAATAATATGACATATTTATACATATATTTAGAGAGATTTTAATTTCGAATAATTTTGATTAATTTTCTTCTGCTCTGAAAACTATTAAAATTAATAATCACTATTTATTTCTGAGGTGGAAGTAAAACGAGGGTTAATTTTTACTACCCTCACAAGTCGGACATTTCAACATCCACTACCCAAATTCTTTTTGAAAAAACAACAAAAATTAAGCTTAAACCTCCTAGGACTAACTCAATTTTTATTTTCCCAGCACGCATCAATTTAATATTTAAAATAAAATAAAATATGAATTTATTAAAACTAAAAAATATTGAATATAGTTAACATAATCCACAATAATAATAAAAAATCGTTGCTTGAAGTGCTTGAGGATATATCCATGTTTACAGTTGAGTCCGAAACGTCAGAACTCAACTGTAAACATGGATATATCCTCAAGCACTTCAAGCAACAAGATAATCCATGAAAGCTTTAACACATTCAATAAAAAATCGCTTATAGTATACATGACTATTTAGTATTTTTAGTTGTTTTTGAATATTTTAGCTTCGAGATTTTAGTTGAGATGATATTGGTTTTGTGATTTTTGTTTTTTTTATTTTAATAATGCTATTACATTTTTTAAAAACACTGATCCTAATTTTAATAAAATATACTAACATTAATAAGCTTTAATTTGGTAAAATTTTATGAAAATACAATAAAAAAACCTAGATACAAAAAAGTTTGAAAAAGACCACCACCCAAGTCAATAAATTTTTTTTTAAATTTGAAAATGATTTATTAAGCGAAATTGATTGTCCAAACAAAAAAATAATGTTATTTTCAATTAATAAAATAATTTAACAAGCATTTAATATTCCAGTGAAATTTTAAATCAGAAATTATGAAATAAAAAATATACAAATTATGAAATTCAACAAATTTAGATACTTCTATTAAAGTAATTTTAATCACTGTCAGATTATTATATATGTTTCTACATCCCAACGATACCATACCCTTGTTGTATTGGGTTTTTTTTCTGATTTTTTAAATTACAATAAGTTGTACTAAATTTTAATAGGATATAATAAACGTAATACCTATTATTAGTTTTAAATTATATTAACCAAAAGTGATCAATTCTTATTACATTCAATTTAGTATTTTAAATAAAAAAAAATAATATTTTTACTTGCTGTTCCGTGTCAGTAGATTCGTAAAGTATATTATTTATTAATTGATACCACACATCGGAAAATGTAAACATAAATATATAAGTAGCAGATGTGAGAAAAATATTTCTGAAAAAATATCAAAAATAACATTAATATATTATTTTTTTTTAAGAAATAATTCAGTAATTACGTTAAAAAATTCAATACAGAATTTTGAACACTATCACATTGGCAGATTACACTTGGCTCATCTTCACAAAAAAATATCAATAAAAAAACAAATACAGAAATGTTTAATGATAAACCTACAAAATAATAACTTTTATTCAAAAATTATATTTTACTAAGCTGTTGATTGTTAATTTATTTTTAAATGATATACTATTTAGACAACTATAAAGCAAGAGTATTAAAATAACTATTATGATTAACAAAAATGGAGAAAGAACTTGTGTTACAGGGGGTAAATTGTGCAGTGAAAGAAAATATTACCTAGAGACTACTCTTTAGAAAATTACATACATTTCATTAACTATAGATTATTTTATTCATCAATAAAAATTTAAGATTACTAAAAAAAAGAAATGCAATAAAATAAAATATTTTTTTATCAAGTTTAAGTACATAAGATTTTTTTTTAAGATACAGATAACTTTTAAAATTTAAACTCCTATGCTACCTACCGGGATCTTCAAAATAATTCTAAACTTCAAAGTACCTATTTTAGTTTTGATGTATAGCTGATAGGTATTTTAAATTAAATTACTTACAAAAGTATTTTGTTTTGTCAACAAAAAATGTAATAGGATATTCACTTTTATAGCTATAAGCTACTACCGCCATTAATGAAGAAATCCATATTTGAAATCCTAAACAAATCGTATTATAAATATCATAATTTATCTTTATAATTTATTATTATTAAACAATTTTTATGCAGAAAATTACATATATTGCAGTATATGTAATTTTATAGTATCTAACAGCTTCTATAACTTTTGATACAATCTAACAATTCATTGTAATTTTTTACCATCCTTTATAAAGAGTAGTATATATATATCTAAGTTAAAAATTTTAGTAATATTAGCTACAGGTAGTTAATTTTTATTATATAATTATGTCGTTCATGCCAATTTATTGTGATAAAATAGCAATTTTAGCAAAACTTTTTAGGTATAGGTTCGAAAACACTTAATACATACTTTTGGAGGTTTCCGAGAATTAGGGATATAGATGATATTTTTGTAGTAATAAATAAAGATTTTAATACAACATTTAAATTATTTTTATCCATCAATTAAACTCGCGTACAAACAAGAAGTAATGGGAAAATTTTATTTAGAACAAAAATTGAAATTTATCTGGAAAACACACATATGTTCAGGTACATTCCAAACAATTCAAATAACTGCTTGCAACATAAAATGACACCTTTTTATAATATGCTTTACAAATTAATTAATATTCCGATGAATAAAATAAATTTTAATAAAGAATTGGGGTTTATAGAAAAATAGCTAGATTCAAAGGGTATGATGAAAAGGTATTTTCAAAATTAATCCGAATACAAAAGTAGAATAAAGAAAGGATTTCTTTGTAGTGAACTCGAGTTTACTGACTAGTGTGGAGGGAACAAAAAGTAATTAGGCCATAAGTTAATTTATAGTATTCGGTCATTTCGAATGAATTAGCTAGAATTTTAAAGAATTTTGGTTAATGTTTACTTTATTATAAAGATAAATCAGAAGAAGAGGGAAATCGGGTGTTTATAAAATATAATATGAAAGTTGTAATAAATGTTGATCTGCAAATTTATTGATTATTTATAAACAACATTACTTAAACAACTATAGTATGAAACTTTATAAAAGATATTATTTGAATCATGTTTATACAATCATTCTGCAAACAGAGTAATTAATATATCGTTAGTAAACCCACAATCACTAAATTTCTCCTAAATAATAATAATAATAAAAAAAAAAAAATATTTAGTTCTATTAAGTATTATTATTTCTTGATATACAAGTAACGAAATCGTTTTTAGGTTTATTCTTTATCGTTTTTTAGGGTACCAATTTTATTTTTTAATTGCGAATATGTATATTTAAATAGCTTGTTTAATAGAAAATGATTAAGGAGCCATAAGGAAATGACTAGTCAATATAACTATTGAACTACTAAATCGGAAATTATTTACACTTTAAAATGTATATTGGAAATTAGGTACGAGTTATAATATTTTTATTATCACGAAAATATTTGCCGCACTACTACCTTCGATCCAGGTATAAAAATATTCATAACTCCCAAAATACTGGTTTAACAGTTATCATCCAATTAATGTCTATGAATTAATATTTTTTTAGCTTCGACGCGAAGCTGAGAAGGTATTGGTTTTACTATGACGTGTTTTAGCTTCGATGCGAAGCTGAGAAGGTATTGGTTTTACTAAGATGTGTTTTTTTTTTTTTTTTTTTTTTTTTTTTTTT